GGCTCCTAAAATCTGTCCCTACATACATAGTCTCTATCCTAGCTCCTTTGTGGCCACCAATCATGACCTCAGACCCAGTTTCTGTTGACAGGTCCTTTACCCATCTAGGGCTACTCAGATCTCTCAATCTAAGGAGGATAAATCCTTTTGTCCCAAATTCACTTCTAGGTGCACTTCCTGGTTCCCGTTTAATATACAGTTCTTCTTCCTGTGTAGTGTAGTGGATTACAAACTGGGCTGCTAATGACAAGGTTGGTAGTTTGAGTTTACCAGTCACTTCATGGGAGAAAGATGAGGCTTTTGGCGCCTGTAAAGCTTATTTATTTATTTATTTATTTTTTTACAATTTCTTAAGTTTCTGACTAAAATGGTCCTTTGGAGGCATTGGGATAAGGGTTTCGGAGAAGGTTTCTGGTCTACAGGTCAATAGAGTGCTTGTGAGACAGAACTCTGGGGGCACACCTAAGAACATGGTCTGGCTTCTGGCAGAACCTGGGGTGGCTGACAGACCTTACCAGGGAGTCGTTGACCCAAGCCTTTAGGTCTGGCATTCTGACATGGGCCTAGAGGAGCACTCAGGTGCTTGGTGCACAAGCCCTGCTGGCCTGGAGCTCTGGGTCCAAGAGCTCCCCATCTACTCTACTCCCCAGGAGTATTGCCTCCTACATCCCCATCACCTGCTAAGTCCCTTTTGCCAGTGGCCCTAGCCCACATTCATGGAGGGAGGCCTGAGGTCAGGCTGTCTTTTGTCTCCGTGTTGTTTTCTAGCTGGAATCCTCCCATGGCCCCTAGGATGCAGTCCAGACTCTGATCTGGTTATCAGGAATCATGTACCCACTTCCCCAATTCCCCTCCACATCCCCATCTTCAAGCCTGCAACACTCCCTCACTTTGACAGTCCCTCACCTGGGAACTCTCCTTCACATCTCAATTTAAAATTCACCTCCTCTAGGACCACTCCCAAGACACCCCCACTCCAAAACTGGGCTCCCTAAGTCCTCTGTATCTGCTTAGAAGATTTGTGGCTGCTGTCTTTGTTGTTAGATGCTGTCAAATCGGTCCCAACTCCTAGCGACCTTGTGTACAATAAAACGAAACACTGCCTGGTCCTGTGCCATCCTCACAATTGTTACGTTTGTGGCCATTGAAGCTGCCACTGCGTCAGTCCATCCTGTTGAGGGTCTTTTTCTCTTTTGTTGACCCTCCATTTTGCCAAGCATGATGTCCTCCAGGGACTGAGAACATGTCCAAAATTCTGAGAACAGAAAGGTCTGAGAACATGGCCAAAGAAAGAAAGACAAAGTATCACCATTTTTGCTTCTAAGGGGCATCCTGGCTGTGCTTCTAAGACAGATTGTTTGTTCTTCGGGCAGCCAAATATGTTTTCAATATTGGACTGGCTGTCTAGTATTTTCAATATTCTTCACCAACACTATAATTCAAATGCATTGATTCTTCTCCAATTTTCCTTATTCATAGCCAAACTTCCACATGCAAATGAGGCAATGAAATATATCATGGCTTGGGTCAGGAGCACCTTAGTCTTCAAACTGACATCTTTGTTTATTAACACTTTAAAGAGGTCTTTTGCAGCAGATTTACTTAATGCAATACATCTTTTGATTTCTTGACTGCTGCTTCCCTGAGCATTGATTGTGGAGCCAAGCAAAATAAAGTCTTTGACATCTTCAACCTCTCTGTTTTTCATGATGTTATTTATTGGTCCTGTTGTGAGGATTTTTGTTTTCTTTACATTTAGGTGCAACCCATACTAAAGGCTGTAATCTTTGATTTTCATTGGTAAGTATCTAAATTCTCTTTGTTTCCAGCAAACTTATGTCACATGCACAACACAGGTTGTTACTGAGTCTTCCTCTAATCCTGATGTCATGTTCTTCTTTATAGAATCCAGTTTCTTACATTATTTGTCCAGCATATAGATTGAACAAGTATGGTGAAAGGATACAATCCTAGCATACACCTTTCATGGTTTTAAACCATTCAGTATTTGTTTGAACAACTGCCTTTTGGTCTGTGTACAGGTTCTTCAGAAGCACAATTAAGCTGACCTTGTGGTTCAAACCAACCTTGTGGTAAATTTGAATAATAGTAGTATTAACTGACCTTCCTTGTAGGCATATGAATATTATTCTCTCACAGAAAGGATTATATTTCAAGATAGATCTTGAAATGCTGTTTTTGACAATGAGTGCAATGCATTCCTCTCCAATTTGTGAATTTAGTGAAATGAAACTGGAAATTCAATTGATTTCAGTGAAATAAAATTGGAAATCCATTCACAAACCTTTCTGTAAACATGGGACAGGGGGTCCAGGAACCTACCTGCCTGTTTTGCATCCTGTCAGCCCTTCAGCAGTGGCTTGCATCACTCACTTTCCACATCACCAGCTCTCTGCCTTCCCTGGGCAAGATGTATTGGCTGTCTTTCAATCTGCATACTGCCACATTCTTTTTAATCTGGGGCTTTGTACATGCTGTTCCCTTTTCCTGGATCTCTCTTACATCTCCTCTACATACAGTTATTTATCTATGTGATAGGATAGATGTGTTTTTCACATGGGCAAGGCATACATTTTCAGGGGCCAAAGAGTGAAATGAGATTGGTTGAATTCCCCAAAATATATTTTGGACTCCTTGGCCTTATTTCTGTGGATATAAACCTGTGGGGAAATATGTTAATGAATCCATACCAATGTAGGGTAAATCCTAAATCTAATTACATCTTGGCTATAAATATGCAGATTAAAAACAGATGAGTGCAGAAGACAGATGCTACTTTAACAGAGGCAGATGAATCAACAAGCCCAGGAACTCCAAAGATTGCCAGCAGCTATGATAAACACTGGACAGCTAACCATAAGGCCAGCAGTTCTATCCCACTAGCTACTCCATAGAGAAAAGTGATGCTTTCTGCACCTGAAAAGATGTACAGCTTCAGAAAGCCTATAGAGGGTCACTATGTATCACAACATACTCAATGGCTTTAAACAACTAGAAGCTGAAATGGACAAAGAAGGACCTATAGCTACACCCTGAATTCAGCCTTCTAGTCTTTTGAATCATAGAAAAAAAGTAATTTCTGTTCTTTAATACCATTTGTGATATTTCTGTTTCAGCAGCACTAGGTAACTAAAACAATTCACTACCCCAGAAAAATGTTCTCTGACCTTACCAGGATATGCCCTCAGGATTATATTTTCCTGTGAAGACTTGTCAAAGGTCTTTTGTGTGATTACACTATTAGTCTCTGGAGTGGATGAGCTCTGCAAGGGCAGCAACTTGTCTTTTGACCCATTTGTTGTATTCCCCATGTCCCAGCACTACACCAGTGCCTGATGTTCTACTCTGTCCTATAGGTCAGTATGAGTTGGAATTGAGGCAATCGGCAGTGGTCTTTATATAATAGAATCTAGTTCCTGGCACCATTCCCTCCTGTCTCTTTTTTTGGGGTTAATTTTCTGGTTAATTCCAGTCAGGCTCAGCCCAACTTTGCCAGCAAGATTACCTTGTGGATGGATGTGTGAGTGGACAGTGGCAGAAGCAATTCCAAAACTTCTGCTCAGGAGCCTCATGCCTTTTGTTTACCTAAGTTAGTGGGTTTCGCATTGGGCTGCTAACAATAAATTCAGCAGTTCAAAATCAACCAGCTGCTCTGCGGGAGAAAAAGGAGGCTGTCTGCTCCAGTTAAAGATTTACACTATGGGAAATTTTAGGGCGCAGCTCTACTCTGTCTTACAGGGTCATTAAGAATCCGAATCGATTGGCCATAGTCTCTACAGAATCTCGTTCCCTGCTGCGCACCTTCACCCTGCTTTCCTTGTTCATTTTCTGGTTCTTTCCAGTCAGGCCTCAGCCTGGCTTTGGCAGGACCCTTAGACTAGCTGTTTTCATCTTCCTGTCTCCACCCTTACACTAACTGTCACTGACCCCACAGGTATGGCCACACCTACTGGTGCTGGCACCGGAAGGTTGGAGAAAGTCAAGTTTGAGAAGGGCTCTTAGTACTGCAGCTCCGGGTTCCCAGGAAGGAGGGAGCCCGCACCTGGGCACCGCGTCTCCAGGAGGTCGGCAGCAGCAAGTCGGTACTCCAGCCGCATTTGCATGATGCAGCCACAAGCCTTTCAGAAGTAGCAGTAAATGGAGGAACGCTCCTCTGAGACCCAGAACCTAGAGCCTCTAGAAAGGCAATTCGCGTGCATCCTGCAAAAGTGTTAGCCTATTCTCATAGCGATAGCAGTTTCCTAGACAACGACGTGAAGGAACCAGGTTTCAAGATTAGGACTACTCCCATTCGACAAAATGGAAGCTGAACCGTAGCGGAGGCCTGGGAGGAGTATAGGCAGGAGTAGATAGTAGGTAGGGACAGACCCTGAATATCAGCGCTGGACCTGCGGCCCTTCCTCCGCGCATGCGCATTGCGGCCCCGTTTTCCACTCGGCCCCGCCCCCGTCCCCTAGGTTTTCAAATTTGAAACCTGCTTCTTTTCCCGCCCGATTGTGCTGACCAGCGGCGGGAGAGGGCGGGGCCGCGCGCCAGCCAATCGTGCCACAGGGCGGGTCACGGACCAATGGGCGCGTGGCGCGCGGCCGGCCCCGCCCTCGAGGCGCTCACGTGCGCATCCTAACCTGGGCTCAGATAGTGCCAGATACCAAGGCCTGCTCCAGACGCCTGTCCCTCGACCCCAGCGGTGCTGGGCACAGGCTCAGAAATCTTAAGTTTCTGGGGGGGCTACCTAGGCCAGTGAAGTGGGTCTGATGCAGTTCCCTCAGCCCGGTGATTAACTCCTGAGCCAGGCTCGGAGCTGGCGGTCAGACCAGTCCCGCAGCAGTCTGGGGCGGCCGGGGCTATGGGCGGGGCGTCGCGGGGGCGGGCCCGGGCCCTGTGTTTGTTGCTCTGTGTCAGTTACATTGTAACAAAAGTGTTGCACCGCTGTTCCTCCGCCCGCACTCGAAGTCTATCTGCCGCCAGCTGTCGCCGTCATGGAATCCGTGGCCAGCAACATCCAGGTCCTGCTGCAGGCGGCCGAGTACCTGGAGCGCCGCGAAAGAGGTGAGGAAGAGCTATGCACCAGACTACAGGCCGGCGGCCTCGCTGACACCGGCCTGGACTTGGTTCCTTAACTCTAAGGATGCCTGGTCTGAGCGCAGTCGCACCGAGGCACCGAAGCACCCGTCCTTAGCTCGCACCCTGAGAAAAGTCTGAGGCCGGTCTGGCAAGGAGGGATTGGGAATGGCCTTGGCGCTTAAAGCCCTTTCCGCACCTGACACTGACGGAGACTCTCTCTGGCAGAGGCTGAGCATGGCTACGCGTCCCTGTGCCCGCTGCGCAGCCCAGGCTCCGTCCACAGGAGGAAGAAGAGAGCCCACCAAGCTTCTGGCGCGTTGGACAGCGGGCGGTGAGGAGGGCCAAGGGCGACTGGGCGGGAGATGGGCGCTGTCCTTCCTGGTACCTTTCTCGGCCCACTTCTTCCCCTTAGTTGGCATCTTCTAATCCAGGTACCTGCTCAGAGAAGCAGACTCCTCACTCACTCACTGTGCCTCTCCTTCCATCACTTACTAAACACACATCCTTTCATTCATTTAAGGACAATTTCTTGAGGACCTCTGAGGTGCCAGGAACTGAACAAGATAGTTTTCAGTTTTCACACCCCTCTCCACACAGCAAACTACACAGCGACTTTTACACATGCTGTTCTCTCCTATTTCAGTGTCGCTTCCTCCACCCTATTTCTTTGGGAAACTTTCTGGGCTCAGTGCAAATGTCCATTCTGTTCAGGAAGCTCTTTGCTGACTGGCAGGGGCCTCATTTGGATTTGCCTTTCCACCCCAAATATACAGAACCGGAATCTACATTTTAACAAGATCCTCAAATGATTCTTAATAGATCCCCGGGTTTGGACTCCCATACTCCCCTTGGGCAGACCTCTCAACATTTGGCTCCTTGTGTGTGTCACTGACTCCCTTGCCCCTTCCTGAAGGCTCTGGGCCCCAGGCCATTATCAGGTGTCTGACCCACCTTCTCCCCTCCTCCCTGGCCTTGGCAGGTCTGTGCACAATGAGCTGGAAAAGCGAAGGTGAGTCCCAGCCTTGCCCTAATGTACAAGGTCCCAGAACCATTCCCTCTGGCTTTCCCTCCCCTGCCATCCCTGGGGCCTGCAACTGGACTAGCACTGCCCTTCAGATCCCTTCCCCTGCAGGAGGGCCCAGCTGAAGCGGTGCTTGGAGCAGCTGAAGCAGCAGATGCCCTTGGGCACTGACTGTACCCGATATACCACCCTGAGCCTCTTGCGCCGAGCCAGGGTACACATCCAGGTAAGGGCCACCCCTGGGTCCTGGGCCACTATACCAGGAGTCTGAAGGGATGCAGTATGGGGGTACTGGGTAGGATTAGTGAAAGAACAAAGGTGTGATTCTGGACAGTTCCCTGGGCTTCGTTTTCTACTTGTTAAATGGTCAGAAAAGCAGAAAAGTAACTGAGGATTGAAACTTAAACACAGTTAAGCAGTTAAGTGTTGTTATAACTGTGATTGTTACTTAGATCCCAGCTGGGCCAGTCTCATGCAGTGGGAGGACTGGTCTGCTGTTGAAAACTTTTGTGCTAGGTCCTATGTAAGGGTCCCTTGGAATGGATGGTTGGTCCTATTCTTCCCAGTCTGATCCTTCAAGGCCTCCAGCTCTGGAGAAAAGTGCCTGGCTGAGACATCTGGATAAGCGGAGGAAGGTGTTTCTGCTTATGCATCGTCACTATTGACAGCGATTTGTCTTGAAAATTGTTAGAAGCACAAGTTACAGATAGCCCCTGATCACTCGTTGCCCTCACTCCATATCTAGTCTAGACTCGGGGATCCATGATAGAAGGTTCCATGGATCATCAAATAAATTATAGATGCGGGGACCATTTATGCTGTCCCATGCCTGCTGTAGCGTAGTGGTTACGAATAGGGCTGTGAACCTCAAGGTCAGCAATTTGAAACTACCAGCTGTTCCGTGGGAGAAAGATGAGGTTTTCTGCTCCCGTAAAGATTTACAGCCTTGAAAACCCTGTACAGGGTCGCTATTAGTCGGAACGCTCCACGGCACATAACAACAATAACACATCTGCTGTCATCCTCATTGTGGTTGACTCACACCTTGGTTGGGAACTGGGGAAGAGCTAAAGGGCTGGTGTCCCACTTTGCCCCTAAACCACCAGACCTTAAATGATCTCACCATGTCTGTGACGTGTTCTCCTACTTAACCTCTGACAGCTCCTCATTACCCCTAGCGCTCAGTCTCCATCATACAACCGCAGTGTGCCCTCATGGTTGACCATCAGCCCCATGTCCCCGTCCTGGAGTGCTCTGTTCTATTCTCCATCATCTACCAACGTCTAACCCTTCTCACCGGGAACCTGCCTGGCCTGCTTCTCTGCCGGACTTGTCCATGAGAAGATCTGGGGAATCTCGCTTTTCTTGAAGCCCATCATCCCTCTCTTGGGTCCTCTTCAGCAACCTCTAAGTCCCTGCTTCCTGTTTTGCCTCATCAGGCTGTCTTCCACCTTACCGTAGAATGATCTTTGCAGCACATAGAGCCCAGACTCTTGTGACTCCTGACTGGTCATTAACAGTCAGTCAGTGTTAGTATTACTTTGATTGTGAAATTCAAGGCCCTTGACAAACCAGACCTGGCTGCTGACCTGGTTTTGGTGTCATTATCTTCCCAGCTCCACAAAGAAAGCTGAATTTTCTAGGCTCGTCTTCTTGTGTCTGGATGGTTTTTCTTCCCTCGTCTTTGTCTAGCCAGCTGTTATTCATCCTACACTCAGTCCAAATACCCTCTTTGGCCCAGTTCTCGCATCTTGTTGAATGCTGAATGTGGGCTTCTGCCTGCTCATGGTTCTGCATAAACTTGCTTGGCTTTTGGCTCGACAGCTGGGCAAATCCCTCTAAATCATCCAGGCCCGGGGATTTCAGGGCTGCCAGAGCTCAGGTTGGGACATGGGCAGGGTAGACAGGAATATAAAGGCTCTGTCTGGGCTCCTGAATTGCGTTCCTGAGATCTTGCTAGGAGGTACAAACTGGTAGCCTTGGTCTGTAGTTTTCTAAAAATTGGAATCAGCTGTCAGCATTTAAAAACTGGTATAAGAAAAATCTGACTTTCTAGCTTCTCAGACACTGGGAGACCTGGCAGTACTGGGCTTGCATTTCGATGTGGCAACTACTGGTTGGAACCTGTAAGCAGGCTGCTTCTTTGAGCTGCAGCACACACTCATCAGTTCTCTACAGGCCTCCCCCAGATGGTTGCCTTACACTAGAATACTTTCCACCACTTGATTAGGCTCTAAAGGCCTTTGAGATTGTGGTACTCCCCACTCCCACCTAGACAAAATTCTTACAGGTCAATCTTTTTGTGAAGGAGCCTGAGGGGACTGGCTCCCTGGATTTAGGTTGGAGTAAACATTGGGCACCATGTGGTCAGACTCCTGCTGAGGGATGCTGTGATGAGGTCAGCCCCCTGGGTGGGTGCATCAGGCCTTTGCTCCCTCTTGCTCCACAGAAGTTAGAGGAACAGGAGCGACGGGCCCAGCAGCTGAAGGAGAAGCTACGCAGCAGACAGCAGAGCCTGCAGCAGCAGTTAGAGCAGCTCCGGTCACCCCTGGGGACAGCAGAGCGGCTGCGAGCAGACAGCTTAGACTCCTCAGGCCTCTCCTCTGATCAAGGTGAGTGGCCTCAGGCTGTGGGTAGAGGAGTTGGTGGGATGGCCACGTCTTTTGATGGGACTCTCCCTGTGCAGAGGAGCTGGAGGTGGACGTGGAGAGCCTGGTGTTTGGGGGTAAGGCAGAGCTGCTGCGGGGCTTCAGCACCGGCCAGGAGCACAGCTACTCACACAACTTCGCACATGACAGCGCCTGGTTATGACCTCTGCTGCTTTAGCCAGGCGGGAGCCCTCATGGGTTGCTTGGAGTCACCTATTGGAATGGACTAAAAGGACTTGTGTGTTCAGGTACTGTCACTTCTGGGCTGGCAGTCCCTGATTGGAGGGGGTACACCTGGGCCACATCACAGCTCTGCAGGGCAAGCAGCTTGGGCCTAGGCTACCCTTCATGGCATTTTCTGTAGGACTTGGCTTTGATGTCTCCAAGGGAGCAGGAAGCCTCTTGAAAAACTCTTACTTCCTACCAGGACAAGGCCCCCAGACATCTGTTCCAGATGTTAAATGCCATCAAGTTGGTTCCGACTGATAATGACCCTGTATAGGGTTTCTTTAAGGAGTTCTGGTAGCGTAGTGGTTATGAATTGGGTTGCGAACCACAAGGTCAGCAGTTCGAAACTACCAGCTGTTCCATGGGAGAAAGATGAGGCTTTCTGCTCCCGTAAAGATTTACAGCCTCGGAAACCCTGTACAGGGTTGCTATGAGTTGGAATCAACTCCACAGCACATAACCACCACCACCACCACAGGGTTTCTGTGGAGTCTTGGTGTGGCCCTACGGGTTAATGCACCAGGCTGCCAAGCCGTTTCAACTGCAAGGTCTGCGGCTCAAGCTCACCAGCTGCTCCTTAGAAATCCTATACAGGGTTGTCATGGATCAGAACTGACCCGACGGCACTTAACAATGTAGGGTTTCCTTAGAGTGGCTGGTAGGTTTGAACTACCAAGCTTGTGGGTTAGCAGCCCAATACTATATTTTCATTAATAAGGAGCCCTGGTGGTACAGTGGTTAAATGCTTGGCTGCTAACCAAAAGGTCAACAGTTTGAATCCACCAGCCACTCCATAGGAGAAAGAAGGGAGTCTGCTTCTGTAAAGCTTTATAGCAGTGAGAATCATGGGACAGCTCTACTCTGCCATAAAGCATTGCCGAGTTGGAATTGACTTCACAGCTATGAATTTTCTCATTAAAAGCCTCTTTTGTAACCTGTCAGTGCCGTCTTTTGTAAACTTCCTTTCTGTCCACGGTCTTGCCTGATTCGTCAGGGAATTTTTGGCTACAGACCAAGATGGAAAAGAGGAAATAAGACCAGGTACTAGGGTAAACGTTGTTCTAGACAAGGCAGCGCACACTTAATACTTCCAGCTCCGAGTTAGCTCTGGTACCAGTGGGTGTGACTTGCCTGAGGTCCAAAGAACACGGTGAAGTCAAGACTTGAACCAAACCTTGGACTCCAGAGCTGGGGCTAATTGAATTCAGCAGTATTTATTGAGTGCCTAATATGTGCTAGCTGTTGTTTCAGGTACTTGGGACACATCAGAGAGCAAACAGATTCCTGCCCTTATGGAGCTTACAGTCTAGTGTTTATACCACACCACTCCACTCCACCTGCACACTGTGACCCTGGGCACCTCTCTGTGCCTCAGGTGCCCAATGGGGTAATGAGCAGGCTTGTCACAGACATGGGTAACGTGCTTGGTATCCTGTAGATGCCCAACTGGCCCCAACTCCACACTGCCCCCCAGACAGTAGATAGGGCTGGAAGCTGACTTTTAATAAGAAAGCACATTGGGGATAGGCCAGAAGGGGTGGAGCTGGATTGTCTGGTGTGGGGCGGCGGTGGTGCTGGGAAGGCTAGGATGGCTACACAAACTGCTGCTGCTGCTGCTGCTTGGTGGCTGCCTTGTTGGCAAGGTCCTTAGCCTTTTCTGTAGCTGCCAGTGCCGTCTCCTTTGCCTTTTCCTTGGCTTCCTTGGCTGTTTCTACAAGTGTTTTAGAAGGGGCCTCACCTGTATCAAAGGATCAGAGGATGGGGTCAGGAGACTCCAAGAAAATCCACCTAGTCACCCCTTCTCCTCAGAGCCAGGTTCCATTTGAAAGGTGGTATTAATCTCACAGTACAGATGAGTCTCAGAATTCAAGTGGGGCAGTAGCTGACCCAGGCTTCAGCCCACCAGGGTGCAGTTGAGAAACCCTAGCTTCTCACTGGGATGTTCTCCACAGGGACCAGGGCTCTTACCTTGCAGCTTGGCCAAAATATACTCAAACCCCTTCATAGTCTTGGTCACATTGCTTTTAAACCGGGCCAGACCAAACTCCTGGCAAAAGAGGAGGAGGGGAAAGTGCTGATTGGTCCAGGCCCACCGCCCGGGGCCACAGAGCACCAGCTGCTCCCAAAATGCTGCTCACCTGGACAGCTCTGGAGACGCCAAACAAGCTTGAGGAGACCCAGGCTTCCCGGTGAATTTCGGTCCAGCCACTGTTATCAGAGTTCACACAGTAAACGCAGCGTTCCTCCACCACCTGTGTAGGGAGTAAGGCTAGTCATACTGTGTGGGTCTTTCGTTTTGCCACCTTGCATGTAAATCTGACCCCTACCCTCTTTTCACAAGGGGAAACTATGAAATGAGAATCTCTTTCCCTTTGTTGCATGCCCAAGGAGCTACATTATACAGAGAGAGCAAGATACCCATTAAAAAAACAAAACAAAAACAACCAACCAAACAAAAATCCCCAAGAAAAACCTCTTTTCACCAGTCAAACCAGTGGGCCAGTACCTCCAGTAAAAGCACTTTTCTCATAAAGGTGCCCTCATGGTAGTCATTGGTGGTGACTTTGGGCTAATTCTGGGGCAAAACAGTCCTATCACGGGAGTAAAGTGCCTGCTCCTTCTGTGACCTTGCGGGAAACTTCCCTTCTTTGAACCTCACTTCCCTCTTTGTACAATAAAGAGCAATGTTCGCCTTCCAGGGTTACTGTAAAGATTAGCTTAAAGCTTACAGGGTATTCACATGTGAGAAGATAATCCTAGAATGTTCTTTAAACCATGTTTTCAAACTTTTTTTCTTTTAACTGTATATGAAACCCCTTCCCCCAAAAAGTCTTAGGCAGAAATCCATTACATAAAACAAAAATGGAAATCCTTCAATGAAAAAGCCAAAAGGCACCCTTTATGGCTCAGTGGACTGTTTAAAACTACTATCTCAATACATCAGCACCACTCCTATGGACTATGACCTATATGTGTGCCAGGTATTGTGCAGAGCACTTTATATTTAGTACTTGCAACGGGTACCCCTGCCCCATTGTATGAATGAGCCAAAGGATGGGTCCAGAGAGACTAACCAGCTGAATAGATAATCTGAAGCTGTACTCTAGACCACAGAATTCTCCAGGCACAAGTAACTGATGACTCTCTTTTTTGGGGGGAAAGGGAGCTCACCATCAGCCGGGCATGGTTGATGTTCCAAGTGAAGGTGGTCATGGTCTGATTTTGTGGGTCCACAATAGAGTCCTCCAGGATGTACACCGAGTGAGCAACATTGGCAGGAAACAGTCGCTCGGCCCAGCGGGGCATCCTGTTGGTCTTGGTCAGGAGTCGCCTGGACAGGAGCTTCTGGTCAGGGGTCACCTCCCGGTGTACTATGTCCTCCGTCAAGACATGTTTGCTGCAGATGGCAGAGAGAAGGTGCTCCAGGTGGGGCTCCCACTCGCCAGCCTCCTGACGCTGAGTGGCCAGGCCTTCCTGCCATCCTGCAGTGTAATTAATCTGTGCAGAGCAACACTACGGAAGTGGAGTCCCTTGAACTTATCCTTAGGGCAAATTCCAATTCCCGCCCCCTCACTGACCTGGATTCCTGGGCCTTTCCTTAGGGCTGAACCTCACGATTTATTACCAAGTCCAAGCATATGGACTGGAGAGGGCACAGGAGTAGGTGAGAGTCCGAAATTCCAACCCCAAGATCTCCCAACTCGAGTGTTGCCTCTTCCTTTCTCCCCAACCTGGTATGAAAATCTTGGACATAAACCACTGCCCTAGCTCAGCCTCCTTCCGGGCCTGGTCTAATTGATGCTCTGTAAGCTCCCGTACCCTAAGGACGACCACATTCCATGGACTTCCCACCTTGGTGTCGAGTTCTTTCCAGCCCCCTATGTGGGCACCAACCACTCTTCCACCTCCAAGCTGCGAGGGGAGAGTTACTCTTTCTAATATCACAGTACCTGTAGGGGTTCGGATACCGCTGCCAGAAGGCGGCGAACACTTGGTCCCAGGAACTCCGGAGCACGCTCTGGCCCAGGAAATACTTCACCATTGTCCCGGCCGGGGCGGGCTCAGCACTCGCGCAGCATTAGGGGTGCGGAGCCCGGGGGCACGCGGAGGCCTGCCGGAGGTCGGCGCACGCCCGCCAGGCTCGCAGCTCAGTGAACACCGCACCGCGTCCAACCAGCCACCGCGGCCATGAGGAGTGGTCAGGGCGCACGATACTTCCGGTGCAGCACCCACAACTTCCGTCTGTCGCACCACGTGACTGCACGGCCTCGCCCCCTTATCGTCCTCTCGCCCCCTCCCGCGGGAGTCGCGGCGCTGCGGGTCGGAACAGGGTTTAAGCTGAGCGGGTTTTGGTTAGGAGTCGGAGAGCCTCAGTGAGGCGGACTTGCGAGCGGGGTGGGCGACGGCATGCAGTGCCGTTGAGGGCGCTGCCCCGCACGCTCCTAGGCCGCCCCGGGTGTTGGTTTCTTCGTAGAAGAATCAGTACCCGGGGCCGAAGAGCCAGGGCAGTCAGGGACGCGGTCGAGGTGCGAGGTTGGCGCTTTGGGGCGCTGCCTGGGCCAAGCGGAGATCCGGGTTTGCCTCCCGTCCCCGCTTCGGACCCCGACGTGGTAAGGAGGCCCCAGGAGTATGAGTGGGCAGCGCGTGGACGTGAAGGTGGTGATGTTAGGCAAGGAGTACGTGGGCAAGACCAGCCTGGTGGAGAGATACGTGCACGATCGCTTCTTGGTGGGGCCCTATCAGAACGTGAGTGTGCCCCTAGGCCGGGCTCGGGCGGGAGCTGGCGAGCGGGCATCCGCGGCCTCATCTTCCCCATCCTTGCAGACCATCGGGGCCGCCTTCGTTGCCAAGGTGATGTCCGTCGGAGACCGAACAGTGACTTTGGGTATTTGGGTAAGTCTTCACTGCAAGAGACAGGTCCTGGGGAGACCTTGCCCAGAGGCGGCTTTGGTGCTGCCCATCGCTGGTTGACTTGGGGCCTTCAACGAGGCTGTTTCTCTTCACTAGGCTTTCTATGTTGTTGTTATTGTTATGTGCCGTGAAGTCGGTTCCGACTCATAGCGACCCTGTGTACAGGGTTTCCGAGGCTGTAAATCTTTACGGGAGCAGAAAGCCTCATTCTTCTCCCGCGTAACAGCTGGTAGTTTCAACCTGCTGACCGTGAGGTTAGCAACCCGATTCCTAACCACTATGCTACCAGAGCTCCTAGGCTCTCTATATTATCTGTAAAATGGGGATATGGGGAATGTGACCGTAGTTTGCAGTTTGGGGAGTAATTTAGCAATTCTGGGTAGAGCTGAGCCTCCTCCTGCCCTTTAGGACACAGCAGGTTCTGAGCGCTATGAAGCCATGAGCAGAATCTACTATCGGGGTGCCAAGGCTGCCATCGTGTGCTATGGTAAGGGGGGGTGGTGTTCTGTCCTGTCTCTCAGACAGCAGGGTTGGGCACCAGAGTAACTTCAGAAGCCTGCTACTGACTCTTGATTATGTCTTTTGCATGCTCCACCCCAAGACCTCACAGACAGCAGCAGCTTTGAGAGAGCAAAGTTCTGGGTGAAGGAACTGCGCAACCTTGAAGAGGTAGATGGACACACCTAGCCTGGGGGATTAAGAGGGTAGTTCACAAGGGTGACCCTGGCCTTGCTTCTTGTCCCAGGGCTGTCAAATCTACCTGTGTGGCACCAAGAGTGACCTGCTGGAGGAGGATCGGCGTCGGCGTCGTGTGGACTACCACGATGTCCAGGACTATGCAGACAGTATTGCTCCTCAGTCCCACAAGGGTTGGGGGAGGGAAGTGGCTTCTTGGTTGGGACTGCTTGGCTGCCACAGCAAGGTTCCTCAGACTTTCTGGGCTCCCTGAGCCTGTCTGTGGAGTCTAGATTTCTTTGTTTGCCTTCTTTTGAGTGATTCTCATATTCTCAGGTTTAGCCACTTTTCTTTACAGATATCAAAGCTCAGCTTTTTGAGACATCTAGCAAGACTGGCCAGAGTGTGGGTGAGTACTCTGAGGCTACATAGACAGGGACACCTGAGAAAGCAGAGGACCTCCTAGAGGGCTGGGTCATTGGACAATTCCAGGGCAGCAGGCATTGGGCCCTCACTGATCATCCTTTTTCCTGCCAGACGAGCTCTTCCAGAAAGTGGCAGAGGATTACGTCAGTGTGGCTGCTTTCCAGGTGATGACAGGTGTGTACTTCCCAGCCTTTTTGGAGACTTCCTCTATGTCCTTGGTACCTGGTCCTTTTGAGTTACCTGATTCCCCCAGAATGGTGGTGAGCTGCCATCTCTCTTTGACAGAGGACAAGGGTGTGGACCTGGGCCAGAAGGCAAACCCCTACTTCTACAGCTGTTGTCATCACTGAATCACCACCACCTGGCCTGGGGGAACTAAACCAATTCCCGATGGACCTAGCTGTCTGGGCTTGGGTGGTCAAATGTCTGAGCTACTCCATGTTCCCATGGCAGCAGAGGTGGTACCTGCCTGTGCTGGCCAATGAAATGGAGGCAGCATTGGAACGGATTGATGGAGGACTGACTTGAACCCCAGGCTTCTGCCCTGGATGGTAGTGTGCAGACTATTTAAAAGTGGCTTCTGGTTTGTAAATAAAATCAATGCACTGTGAATCACACTCAGCCCCTTTCCCTGCTGTGTGAATATCAAGATACCTAAATCATTTTGGTATTACTTCCTATGTTAAGGCTCCTCTCATCTCTTACTTTCCTTTGGAAATTACGTAGCTGATACATTGGAGGCACTTTTTTTGTTTTTGAATGGGGCAAAAATAGGGGGTAAGAGTCTGCAGTTGGACCAGTGTTCTGCATGCCCATAAAAGCAAGGAATGCAATTAACTGATGTCCAGAGGTAAAATGATTATGCTTTCCTACCCCAAGACAGGTTGGTCTGGCTGGCTCTGTTGCATCTGTCATGTCTGGACCTGAGTTAGGCCCTAAGCTTCCCAGTAACATCTTACATACAATACAGTGTAAATAGTAGTAAGGTTGTAATGATTTAGATTTAGTTGGAAAAAGGATTTAAACCCTCAAGCTGCATTTTCTTATGAAAATGAGATGGCTACTCTGGATCTCAGGACTGTGAAAAACGTAACTAAGTACTAAATTCTCATTTTCTGTCCCTTGAGGGTGTTTTTCTGGTCAGAAAGGTCAAATCCACAGTTCCTAAAGCATACTTTGAGGACTGGGAGGTCCAAGCATTTAAAAAATATCAGGTGGGTGTTACTGTAAATGGGATTGAAGCTTCCAGTACAACCCAGTAAATGTATTGCAGCCCTTTCCGTTCTTGTTTCCTTCCTGTTCACCCTTGGCCTCTGCTTTCCTGAAGTTAGGCCTGGGCTGAGTCCTCTATAGTGCCTAACACCTGCCTCTGGCAAATGGAAAACTTAAGCAAGATGGTAAGATTCTTGCTCAAAAGTGCTTTGGTTCCACTTCCTTTTTCAAAACCAACTCCTCAAAATAATCTTTCTTATGGGTGATGGAGGTTTCCTGTAGACGGACTGAAAGTGACACCAGTCACTCCTAACAGGATAGAAACACCCTTAGGCAGCCGGTTGCTTTAGTGGAAACGCAAACCACTCCCCATGAGATACACAGGACCCAGGCTCAGGAACTAACTTGGGCTAGCTTCTGCTCTAACCCCAACCAGTCCACCCTCCTGTTAAGACTCTAGTATCTCCCCAAGGACAAGAAAACAAAACACAGGGCAAGGGCCATAAGAGTAAAGTTAAACTTTACTTTACAGTAATTTTTTTCTATATACAAAGAATTACAGTACATGTTTATGGGGACTCCTAGCACAGGGCTCCCCTCTTTTCACTAGGAGTTTCACTTACAGCTGACAATCTATAGGGGAGGGGTAAATAAACAGTGATGGATCTCAGCTATCACCCTCCCACCCTTTTCTTAAAAATATAAAAACAAATCTCTTATCGTCAGCTTATTACTTTGCCAAGACCTAGAAAGCTGTTCTTCCATGAGCTCTTGTGTGCTGTCTTTGCCCATACTCCGCACTTTCACCTACACATACACACAGCATCCCACAGACCTGTAAGCCTCCACTCTCTGCCCTACCCTGGAAGTAACAGCACCAGAGCCCTTGGTTTCTACTACTCACTGTGCTCACCTCATATTAATGGTCTGCTTGACTTCCAGGAGTTAACTTCCAAAGCCCCCCAATAGTCTGATGGTTTCAAAGTCATGGGAAAGAAGCTCTAGCAAAGGGACCACATAATTTTAACATGTGCTGTTTTTGCTTATGTTGGTGAGAAACATTTCTTCTAGGTTGTGGATTTCTAATTAAAATAAACTCTTTCCACTTCCTTAAGAAATATTACTCCTAATCTTCATAAGCAATAGAGGTGCTCCCATGAGTAGAAGAGGTAGAGAAGGGGACAAGGTAACAGAAGGAGAACCCACCCCTAGAACTCTACCAGCCTGATTCAGGCAGTATAGATAAAGGCTATCAACATGGTGACTGAGGCTCAGAGTAAATCAATGGCCACCCTCATATGGACTCGGGGCTCACAACCACATCTGGAAGTCACTGAGCCATTCCAGGACTGGGTGCAGGCTTCACTGAGGCACTGCCTTCTCCCACCTCTAAGCTGGTTTCAAGCCTTTCTATACAAAATTTTTACTCATAAACAGGAATCCCAAGTTTACCAGTCTCTCATCCCTTGGCAGTGCTTATTCATAACAGAAAATTAGCACCATTACGTTTATGTGTGTGTGTGTGTGTGTGTGTGTACAAAGCAATTTTCTATTTCAATTTATACTATAGCCACCTCTGACCCAGCATGCTGCATTGGCCCTTGAGAGCTCAAATGATGGTTAACTGGCCACAGCCAATTAGTTTCCTGCAGCAGCTACCTAGTTCTAAATGATTTGGAATGTCTAACACATAAGCAGCTCATCTATTACTACTGTACGAAGAAGGGCTTTGAGGGAATCCTTTGCCTGTCATAAACTCAGTTTAGGACAGTGGGCCACCTCTGCTAAATCCCAAGAGGATGGCAACATCCCAATATAAGCCTTGGAGGGAAAAGCCTGCTTTGTAGGAACTGAGGGTAAAGCCTGTCCAGGTGTAGTACTTTCTGGATTATACTCCCCACAGGGGAAGCCGCCTGATCAGACTTCCTTCCAACCTTCAGTTCTCACAAGGCAACATACAATCTGGGAGGAGTCCAGCTCTAATGACACATGTGCTGAGCCTGGGAAAGGATGTCCAAGTCAGTCTAAGCCCTGGCCCTTGTGCATGTATGTTTGTGGGGTGGGTGGGCAGGATATAAAGGATAAATTGTTTAATCAATGCTAAAGATGGGTGGTCATCATTCAGAAGAGGATCTACAGTGATTTAAATCATTTCAAACTCAGTAACTTTAAGGGAAAGTAAACATTTAAAAACATGGATGCTTTTGTAACAATGACAGCTAGCTTACTACTTAAATGGGTTTGTGTCAGTAGGAGATGCCAATGAGGCTTTGAATACAAATTTCAACAGTTTCCATCATTTTTTATTCCCTGACATGACAGGGCCAGTAGAGGCACATTACGTGCTCTGGAGCATTTCCATCTTGGCTCCCCCTTGGAGACAGTTCCCTGGGGAGCTAAGCTCAGAGGCACACTCTCTTGAGACCCCATGATTTTCAAGCACTTCTCCAAACACTGTAATACTACCCTGCACATAGATAAGAAATTTCTAAGGAAAGGATTTCCTTTCATTCCCAATCTACATATTGGAGGAAAGAGCTCATTACAGGCTCCTAAGGGACCCATGAGGCTGACGAGGTCACTCCCTGCCTGCCTTCACCAAGGTTTTCCAACACTAGTCCTGACTTTACTGTTTTACTGTGACTGCTTTCCTGATCTTAACAATCTAGGCTCAGAAGCTGCTACCCTGTGGACGTGAGAGCTCAACTTTCTAGTTTCCACTCAACAACCTGAGTCTTTTAATGACCTTGGATAGAGCCTGATTATCCATCCATCTAGATAGAGAATGCCCCAAAGCCAAGCTCAGCTATTTACGTAGGCATGTCTGGAATGAAGTCTGCAGAATGGTGGAGAGTGGAAAGAAGGAAAAATCACAAGGTGGTCAGTCATGGCCATATTTTCCCATCAATCCTCTCTGTGCTGTGAGACATTGCTAGAGAAATTGACTGTCAAGTACTAAACCAAAGCTGATGTCAAATATGCTACACTTCAGGTTAAACTTCTCTACTGAAAAAGTTTACAAAGCCTGCACCCTCCCCCTCAAAAATTCACAGTTTATTTAATGAAACAAAGAGCTAAGGTAATTTAACACACAACATAGTGGAAGGAGATTCTGACAGTGCAGTGCAGATTATCTTGTTCTGATCACAATTACAGATGACAGGAGAGAAAAGGGCACAGGACTGGCACCAAGCAAACCCTACTCGTACAACCTAAGATTAGGGAAAGGGACCTACAGCTGAAGTTATATACTTATAAGTCTCACACATGATAAATACTTAATATAATGAACTTTAATGTTCTTGGTGGATTTCTTTAAAAATATTTTTCAAGGTTTAAAATTCTTTTAAAACAAAATAAGATGCTTTATGCTTTCTCTTCCCTTTGAACAGAGAGTTTTTCCCTCTCTGATGGTGTGGGAAGAGATACAGGATGAAAAGGGAGAACTAGGCAAGTGGAATTCAGAGGCAAGTCCTAGGTCTAAGTGAGAGCAAGGATAGGTCCCTAAACTTGAATCCTACCCTGCCTCAACCTTCTGCCTGAGTTCAAGTGTCTCATCCCCAGAGACAGACTTTGGGAAATAAAAGCAGATTCTTTTAAAAATCTTTATATAAAGCGCAAATGCTTCTATAACAACTATTCCCTCCTTGGAAGTGATGGGAGTAACCATTATAGGAACTTAGGATGAAGGGGAAATTGGGGCAAAATACGGAATTCTGTTAAGGGTGTTAAGAGCCATCACAGACAATGGCCAGGAGATGGCCTATTGGCTAAGCTGCTGGCTGAGTTGGCAAAGCAGAGAGGTAAACATGTTTGGTCTAAGGATAAAGAAGGGTTGGACAAGTAGGAGGGAACTGGCCAAACAGCACTCCTGTTGGCAGTCAGTGAGCTGGGTGAATAACAGGGCAGGGTAGCACCAACAGATTTCCCAGCCCTTGGGCCCCAGCTCAGGGCAGCAGTAACAGATCATCAGCAGTTATAAAAAGCTATCTCTTAGACTGGACATGCTCTGAACACCACAGAAATCAGTCCTGACAGTCTTAGGGGAAATGTTCTGGTGGTATTGAGCTAAGTCAGCAGGCAGATGCTCTCAATAGATCACAGCAATTCTCAGGGAAGGATGTTGAAGACAAGGATTCCATCCCACTTCAAAGGGTAAAGGATTGGGGAAGAGCAAATACTTTCCCACCAGGCTCTGGCAATCTCCCCGAAGCTGGGGGTGTCTAGTCCAGAGAATGCAGTTTCCCTATGTCCACTGCTTAAGACTCATAAATCTGAAAGCACCTGGGTTTTTGGGGGATAGGAGTTAGGTGGGTTCATGTAAAAGGAGAATTGGTAGAAAAGAAAGGTAAGCTTGCCAATTGCCTTATTCCACTGCCAGAAAAGCTACATTCTTATAGAGCCC